GGAAATATTTTAACATGTGCTAGATGATCTATCATCTCACCCTTAAATACTTCCTCATGCCAGATCACTTTTCTGAATTTTGCTAGTTACCTCTGCTGGTTAACTTAAACTAAGACTCAGAACTAGAAAGTAGAGAAACTGCAATGGTTCCTGTCATGGATTGATTGTATCTCAAAAACAACAACAACAAAAAGTGAGCTCTAATGGGCCAGGGTTTTTCAGGGATTTGACAGTTATGTAATGATGTAGTTGGGCGGTTTTGTAGTGATGTCATTTTTGCAGTTACATAATAATGCAGAGGAACCCTGGTTGGGTAGTGGGTTACCATTGAGTTATTAACCTCAAGGTCAGTCAGTGGTTCAAACGCACCATCCCCTTTGTGGGACAAAGATGAAGCCTTCTGCTCCGGGAGAGTTTTACAGCCGCAGAAATCTGAGGAAGTATTTCCTCCCGGCCCCTCAGGTCACTCCGAGTCTGAATCCACTCAGTGACAATAGGCTTATAATAATGCAGTCATCTCTCATAATGAGCTCCGATGTTACTGTCTTATATTTGTGATAAGTTTTAAATCCTGGTCTCGATGTGTTCACAAGGCAGGATTAGGTTATGTTTAGTACGTTAATGAAGCAAGATTAGGAACAACACTCTCACAGCCCAGATCCAATGTCAGAGGAACTTCGATGGTGTGTGGCCTGCATCACTTCCTAATCTTTTTTCTTAGATGAAGGTGTACAGAGCAGATCACAGTTTTCCACCCAGCACTTCATACGCGTTCCAATTCAACGCATCCATCGCCACCCCTTCAGTGTACCATCTGTTACCCCACTGCCTCCTGTGTTTCCTGTTTCCATTTGTCTCTCTCTTCCTAATCCTCTGACTTTTGTACTTGGGTCAATGCTGCCCTTTTCATCATAAATGGTTGGCTATTCTAACTCACGTAAGTTGAGTTCCAGACCTGAAAAGTGACTGAGTGCTGTAGTCTTGAGGATCCTACCAGTCTCTATCTGATTAGTAAATTGGGCTCTTTGATGATTTTTGAGTTCCATTCACATTTTTTTCTCCCACTCTAGCCAGGACCGCCTAGTGTGACCCTTTCAGAGCAGTTGGAAGCGGTAGCCGGCCACCGTCCAGTCCTTCTGCTCTGGGGGTGTGGAGACTGATGTCTTTTTCTCCCTCTGGACCAGAGAGACCAGCAGTCGTATTTTAGGTGACTGCTCTCCAGTTACTACTCACCAAAGTAGCATGTAGGGCAATGTCTTTGTCAACACTGTTGGACTAGTTGGCCTTGGTGACTCATGAGACTACCTCACCTTTTATCTTACATGAGATGAACGGAGCTGGGAGCAGAGCGTGACCTTTGGACCCAGAGTCTCTGTGCAGAGAACCTCCTGGGGAAGATTGATGGTATAACACATGGAGATTTCCAAGGGCATTGGGGCCCACAGATGTTGAAAGGAAATGAGAATCTTTCTCTACTGCTGACAGAGAGTGAAGGCTTTTTCTTTAAAGTTGGCTCCTTGAATTTACATTTCGAACCTCCTAAACTGTGAATACATTTGTTAAAGTCATCTGCTTATGATATTTCTGTTATAACTGCACTAGATAATTTTTTTTTCCATTTTTTTTTTAACATTTTATTAGGGGCTCATACAACTGTTATCGCAATCCATACACACATCAATTGTGTAAAGCACACTTGTACAT